AAGAGTGATAAGGTAAGATGAAGTTGGGGTGTGAAACACACAGAGGCTTCACACAAGCTCCAATATCACACAAGCTCCAATACGCCAACTCGAGTGGAGCCCCAATTCCTCAGAACCTTTTAGCGGTCGTTGCAAGGAGAGATACATTCTTTATTTCATGACCCGTGGTTCTGTGTGGAGAAATAATTTTTACCTCCAAGTAGGTAAAAATAACCTGCTTGCCTGGGAGAAACCCAAATGTCCCTAGTACTGAGATGTTCAAGAAATTTCTTTCATGAGGTGTTTTTCTTTATGCACACAACTGTCGGCTGAATCTGCAACTTATAATACTTTGCTCAATATATGCTCTTCTATGTTTTGTAAGACAGAAGAGCAAGCTATGAGACCGAACTATCGTGGTCTCCACGAGCTTCAATATGACCTTTCCAAAACTTTCCTCCTATTGTAAAGGGGCCAAAAAGCATTCGAAGCCCTGATAGTTATTTTGTTTTGGCAAGTGAATTGACTTGACTCTCTTTAAAGCAGCCCATAAAATAAGGCTTTATGTGCCCACTCTTATCGACATAACACTATGACTTATTCTTGCCGGGTAGACATAAGACATTTTCATTAATGAATGGAAAAATGCCAACTAAACAGGGAAAACAACTGAAATTAGCCCAGCAATTTGATATCCAGCCCTGGTCAGAACGTAGGACCCTGATTCTGAGCTGAGCTCTGTGTTGCTGCCAGTTCAACACGTTCGTATTTTCTCATTTTCATAGTAAAGCATCCTCAACGAGAGTCGAACCCCATTGACGACAGACAAGTGTCCATTTGTTTTGTTTTGTGTCCCCTCCACTAGAATTAGGGAGGGTTCCCCCTAACTTCATTAAATGGTGGAGGTTAAATCGTTTTTTTCCCCCCACTTTCCAGCAGAAGTAGTAAGTTCCTTTTATTTTTCCTTCATTCACTGGAGGCCTAAAGTTTCGTGGTTGTCCTCTGGCTCTTTCCCATAAGGTTATCGGTCATCGGTTTAAACAGGAGGCAAGGAAAGGACTGTTTATTCCATGTGGGTAAGAAATTCCCTCAGCAAAAAAGTGCCTGGGCCTCTGGCTGCCTCGGTGACAGGGAAAGCATGTCACAGCTGCTGAGAACGCTTTCCCCTGGCACTAACCCCTGCTGGAGACCACCGTGAAGCTAGACCCCCTGAGAGCCTCCTTCCTCCGTGTTGCATGCACAGAACCCTTTGGTGAGGAAAGCCTTGCTCAGGCATGGGTTTACCCTCTTTAAGATCACAAAGGATTTGTTTTGAAAAACTAAACCAAAAGAAAGCAAAGCCAAGTAAAGAGAAGTGAAGTGGGGGAGCGCGGGGGGAACAGAAGCAGGGTTGGGAACTTGTCATCAATCTGTGATCATTTCCCTTTAAGATGTCAGGGCCACTGTTTTGAGGAAGGTAGAAAATACAGATGTTCCCAGGTAAGACTTTCAACACTCTTGTCATGTTCCTGATGTTCTTATCTTCCTGTTCCGCTCACTGTTTTCACGGTTATTTCTGTTGCTGTGACAACTCATGCACATATAAACCTTAATGGATATGCTAATTAGTACGTTTTATATCAATTTGTAAAAGCACTAGTGCCTTGTAGAATCTTTTTAGGTGTATTTCAATACAATGGACTCTAGTGATGGTCATACATTTATCCTTTTAGCCACCGTTTTAACCATGAAACAGTTATTCCCACCAGCAGCAGCATCGTCGTCGTCGTCATCATCATCATCATCACCACATCAGCATCGTTGTTGTCCCCGTCCTCAGGAAGGATGGATTCACTTACACTAAGTGTTTGGGTGCGGGGAGAAAAGGTGTCCGTAAAGCCATAATGAACTACACGTAAAGTTTCAATCGTAGTTTTATCTGAATTATTTTTAATTCAGGATATTGAGGAAAGTAAAAGAGTTATCTACAGTTTTTCCCTACTTAACAGATAGTGGGCATCAGACTTTAATTTTTAAATGGAAACAGGGATTCATCCAACAGGCATTTCGGTGATGCACCTTGGAGGAGGCCGGGATCCATGTGTTTCACCCTCCCCCGCCCCACTTCGCCTCGCTGTTTCCTGTAACATCTGTTGTGTTTTACTGCCATCTGCTGGCCACTTCGTAGAAACGCTTTCACCTTATTGACACAGGAGTCCTGGAACCTTGCTCAGAAGCTCTTTTTTGTTTCAGCCCGTGTCCATGCATTCTCCTCCTGTCCTGTGTGAAACCGTCGGATTGTTTGAATCTGGTCACTCATTGTTAACACACTCACGCACCTGTAATTGTCTCCTTGTGCCAGAAGCCCTGACATGCTGAGGTCGGAAGTTTCCTTTTCCGTGGGAGGAAGGCATTCGTCCACAGATTCCAACAAGGCCTCCAGCGGAGACCTCTCCCCTTATGACAACAACTCCCCAGTGCTGTCCGAGCGCTCCCTGCTGGCTATGCAAGAGGACGTGGCCCCGGGGGGCTCAGAGAAGCTTTACAAAGGGCCAGAGCAGTATGTGCGGGTGGGCCACTTGCCGTCTTCGAAGTCGAGGGAGAGTTCTCCTGGACCAAGGCTTGGGAAAGGTAACTCCACCAGTGACTTCGATTGCATGTGGCCTGATGTGGGTGCTTTGGACCTTCTCTCCATCCCTTCACCATTTCACGTTTCTCTAATTCAATGAGCATTTACTGAGGACCTGCCAAACACCGACTCTGAGTCCCTGCAGACCCAGCTAGCTGGGAAGCAGTCTCAAACTCTGACAGCCCCTGACATTCCCAGCTGACTTTTCTGCTCCAGCATCCGAGGAACTTTACGTGTCCTGGCCTGTGGGTTTGGGTGCGTATTTGTTAGGCTAAGATGTCACCGAACCATTGCTGTTAACTTTATTTATAAAGGGAACAAGCTGAACTTACTATATAACAAGCTGGCATGTTCCAAAGAGGTCTCCATGGCAGGTGACGTTTTTAGGCAGAATAAGGTTTCCATGGTCAAGTACATTTGGGAAATATTGGGTTAACCAAGCTAACGGTCTCTCTACTGTACAAGTTCTCAAACTCTTCAAAGTGCTAGTGGGCACCATGAATTTCCACAATGGGAGGGAGGGTATGGGTTGCAGCTTTTCTCAAATTCATTTGACGACCGAATGTTTGGTTCTGTTCTCTCCCTCCACAGAGTAATTCCTCAGGGTCAGGACTCAACAGGACACTTTTAAAGTAATAATTGGAAGACACGGTACAAATTCTTACTGTTTTATCTCAAATTTATAGTTTAATCTGAAGAGCCACTCTGAAAGGGCCTTTTTTTTTTTTTTTTTGGGGTTTTCAATCACAGCAGTTCTTTTTAATTTTACAAATATTCGTGTCAAAAATGTTTTTTTTTAATTTACAATGAGAACAGTAACCCATGTTCCCATCAGGCATAAAATTTATTTTTAAAATGCGAAAGTACTTGCCTCATCTGTAAAATGGACTCGGGGTCATCTCTTCAGGATTAAATGAGAGAATGCGTATGAACTGCGGAACACAGGGAAGCATCCAGTAGACGTTTGCTTCTAGAAATAGCCATTATTATCACGCGGCAGAATTGTAGTGAGGATTAAATGAGATGGTGAAAACACCTAAGATAGTGCCTTAGGCTGTAAATATTTACAGACAGACTAAGGGGATGTATGAATAAATACATGCAGGACTGACTCTGTTGCCGCCAGATAAAGAAACTATAACTATTCCTCTGTCTCTATGTTAATGCGGTCAGAGCTGTTTCCAGCCATCACAGTTCTACTCGTTTCCTATTGCTGCCGTAACAAAAGACCACAAACTTAGTGGTTTAAAACAACACACAAATTTATTATCGTACAGTTCCGGACATCAGAAATCTAAAATGGGTCCACAGGCCTGTGTTCCTTCCGGAGACTCTAGGGAACAATCTGTTTCCTTGCCTTTTCCAGCTTCCAGAGGCTGCCTGCATTCTTTGGTTCCTGGCCCCTTCCTCCATCTTTAAAGCCAGCAACGTAGCATCTTCTGTCTTGCCTCCCTCTTATAAAGACCCTTGTGATTACATCGGGCTCGCATGGATAATCCAGGATCATCTCCTCACCTTAAAATCCATAATTTAAGCACACCTGCAGAGTCCCTTTTGAATATAACATCTTTACAGGTTCTGGGGATCATGACACGGACATCTTTGTGGGAGTCCTTATTCTGTCTACCACAGCCATCATAGAGAAAGAGGCTTTTTGTAAATCTCAAATGGAATAAGCATCTTAAAAGGCAGGTCTGCATCGTATTCTGTCTTGTATCCATCACAATCTCGAATATAGTACTTTGAGCAAAAGAGACGTTATAAACATATTTGTTTATTGATTTTTTTGCTCTTCAGTTTGATGGTGAGTTACATACCTTTTTTATACACTTCTTCCTAGATATGGCAGAGGAGGCTTTCAATATCTGGGGAACTTGGCATTCAACATTAAAAAGTGGATCCAAAGACCCAGGAATGACAGGTAAAGGATAATTTTTTAAAACTGGTATTTCATTTACTTTTTAAGTTAATTTCCTTTCATTTTCACCTTACTGTCATCGTATTACATGCTTAGCAAATATTGTTTGGAAAATGCTGGAAACAGAGAAAAAGGGGATAAAGCTATACTTCTCCTTTCCACCAAAGTACATCAGTCTTTGACTTTATTTCATTTGCAAGAGTTTTTAAACATAGTTACAATCATTCTCTCTGTGTACCTTTATATGATTTGTTTACCGTCCATTCTCCAGCTATTTTCCATTATTATTGTTAAGAGCCATGTAGTATTCCAGATGCATATTCGTAGTTTAGAGCCCAATGCTGGGACAATGAGCTGTTTCCATTTTTTATTGACGTTGTAATAAGTTATGATGTCAGGGACCTCTTTTATGTAACTTTTTTTTTTTTTTGGTATTTTAAGTTATTAACAAATTCACAGAATTTCAGACAGCCAGTTACAAATCCAGAATAGTAAAGTGGGGGACTTCCCTGGTGGTCCAGTGGCTAGGACTCCAAGCTTCCACTTCTGAGGGCCTGGGTTCAATCCCTGGTTGCGAAACTAAGATCCTGCAAGCCGCGTGGTGCAGCAAAAACAAAAACAAAAGAAACAAAAAAAACAGAATAGGAAAGTGGGTCAAAAATGATGAACCTTTTCAAGAATTCAGAGGTACAGTCACTTCACATTCCACGGAAGATGCGTTGTCTTGTGCTCCGTCAGCTGTAGGTGGCAGTGCCGTTTCACTGTACTGTCCGTGTCACTTGAACCTCATTGGTATTGCAAATCACTGGGTTTGCATTTTGGCTTCCTTAAAGAACAAAATTGTATTATTTTCATTTGCCTTTCTTTCTCACCAGTATTTTTTCATTTTTCTATTGATCAGCTGAATTTCCCCCACTGATTATCAGTTATGTCATTGGCTATTTGTGTATGCTAGTGTTTTTAAAATTGATTCTTACAAACTCTTCCTATCATAAAGGCGTTAACCCTTTGTCCACTTTGTTTGCCACTGATATTATTCTCCCTTGCAGTTTTTTCCCCTTTTTGGATATCTGAGATTTTTTTAATGTTTTACATAAGTAAGTCTATCACCCTCTCTTGTTGTGAATTATTTCACAAAATTCATCTTTACTTTTACTTAAGCATTGGCGAGTCAGTCATCTATGCACTTTTCCCTTTCACTGTATTCCATTATTTTAACCCTTAATTCTTTAATCCATCTGGAATGTATGTTAGTATATTGCATGAAGTGTGTAAATAGTTTTGTTTTATTGTTTCTCCCAAATGTGTGTGTATGTATGTATATGTGTGTGTACATGTGTGTATATGTTCCCTTTCTCATTGTTTTGTGACACCTCCCATATTACATTTTTAAAGCATGGTACATTTTTAAGTTAATGGCCTCTAATCCAGTTTGGGTACTTGAGTACTGATCCATTATCTAACTACATCTCATTGTGTCCCATGAAGTGCTTTACTGCCTTTCCCCCCAAGGATAAAGTATTGCACGATATTCTGCTCTGTTTTCCTTCGCTGTTTCAACTCTGACCTGTCCCTATATAAATGCTCATATGCCCCTCTCTCCCCAAAATGATCTGCTCTCTTTC